ATTTTAAGGAGATGATTTTCTGAATTGCCTCAGAAAAGGTTGGCACACAGTGGCTCCACACCATTTTGCAGGGTGGTCACCCTGTGTTCCCAGGCTGAGGTGGCAGCCCCAACTGCAGTTCAATGTCAGTTGAAAATATATGCATTCATTTATATATGTAAGTCAACCTTGCATGCAAGCAGAATGTAACTCACCTTTAAATTAGAACCGTCTGGTAAATTGCAGTGTGTCAAGTACTTATTTACAGAATCACAGAGGTTGGAACAGAACTCAAGAGATTGAGTCCAATCCCCCTGCTAAAGCAGGTGCCCTACAATAGGTTGCAACTAAAAATAAGCAAACAAATAAAAGGAGGAAATACAAATACGAAGAGGAAGATCTGCTTTCAATGCAAGAATTACAGGGACAGGGAAACAACAAACCAGTGTGATATCTGTGGATGACTGACCTCATTCTCTTAAAGTGAGGTTTTAGGGCCCTTTTTTTTAATTTATATTTTTTGGGTAAAGTGTGAGTTGAGTTGTTTGAATATTCATGTTGACTTTAATACTCTGTAGTGTAATTGTGCAAAAATAATGCTTTAGATTTAATGCAGAAATACAGAACCCAGGTTCAGATATACCCATGTTTGTACTTAGAAGAAGCTTACACTTGCCACCACCAGGTCTCCTTAATGTCATGTCTGGAAGGAGACGATGGATATTTCATTACCTTACTCTGTTTAAAAGCAGAAGGGCTTAAATTAAATATGTGATGCTGGGTTCAAATATTCAATCTGCAGCCAGCGTGGGCTGTGGTGCAACCATCACCTGTGCCCACACCATGCTGGCAGTGGCAGCCAAGGCAGCACAGTGTGCAAGAGGAGTGCATCCCACCCGTCTCACTGCAGCCTTACACACACTGGCTGGCACAAATGGGAAAAGGTGGCAGAGACAGAAGGACTGGATGACAGCATGGCTGGGAAGGCAGGAGGAGTGTCTGCTCTTTTTTTTTTTTTTAAATGCAAATCCTGCCTTGTGTCAATTTAAGGGTATAATTTGACAGTTTGACTTCCTTGAGTGCTAGTGTACTGAATTATTATATATTACTGAAATCTAGCTACATAATGCTAACTGCCTATGGGGAATGGCTTCAAACTAAAAGAGGGGAAAATCAGGTTCAATGTTAGGAAAAAATTCTTTACTCAGAGGGATGTGAGGCCCTGGCACAGGCTGCCCAGAGATGTCACAGGGTGCCCCATCCCTGGAAGTGCTCAAGAACAGGTTGGATGGTGCCCTGGGCTCCATCCTGGGCACCCAGCCCAGGGCATGGGTCAGAGCATGATGATCCTTAAGATCCCTTCCAACCCAAGCCATTCTGTGATTACCTAGAATTTTTGATGCCACCAGTTACCTTTAGAGAATGTTCATGTATGAATGTACAGCTTATTCTTCTTACCAGTGCGTAAAGCGAGACTGATAAATGAAATCTAAGCTTCATACAACATAAGAGGCAACGCAATCTGCCAACTCATTGTCAGATGTTCTGATCAAAAAGTTAAAAAAAAAAAAAAAAAAATGAAGAGAGAAAAGGAAATAAATGGCTTTGAGGTGTTATTCCAGTATTTTCTTGTCCTAGAACAGATGTGATTACTCAATATCGTTGCTAAAATTTATGAGATGACTTCCTACTGTCACACGGTGGTGATGGTGGCCTTCATCTCGGCCCACATTCCCCCACTTATTTTTTTGTTCCTCATAACCATTCTTTTGTATTCCTTAAGCATGTTTCCTTCTGCCAGCTCACTTGCATTGCTGACCATGCCGGTTCAAGCCAAGTCTTTGATTCAGACTGGAACCTGCCTGATTCACAAAGAGGCTGGAACTGAGATCAAGAGACACCCAGCTCACTTCCAACAAGTCTCCTGGCAGACAAGATACTGGAGGGGGGAAGAAAGAGCAGACTGTTCCTTAAAAACAAGCAGACAAGAAATAGCAAGAGCAGAATAACACAATGTGCTCCTTAAAGGAAGCGCTCAGATGCGGTCTCATCTAACCTGAGTGCTCAGACCTGAAGTCAGTCCTAGCAGTTAGTTATGGGGTGTGTGTGCTGTTGGTTTATAATGCTGGAAACTCTACCAGGTGGATTGCAGTGCATAGAGAAAAGAGGGATGGCTGAATGCAGCCATAAAAAGTCAGGCTAAAAGGTAGGTTAATGATTCGTTGCTAGGCAGTCTAATGATTTACTCACTTTTCTGTTGCTGTCTTTCTGTTGTGGTAATATTTATTCTTTTATGTGTTCTGTATGTCATGAAGAATATATTAAGTCAGTGCTTTCTGGGATGTTCTTTGGCAAGAAATTTTCCTTGCGTTTGGTCTCTTGCTCTTTTTTTTTTTTTTTTTTCTTTAAGTGCTCCATGTTTCTCTGACCTCATTATTATTTTTGAGCTGCTTCTGTGATTTGACATTGAAAAAAGTTATTCCAACAAAAGCAGCACAGCATGTTACTCAGACTTTACAAAGTGTCAGATGGGCACGATCGGGACTTAATCTTGCAGCCTACGAGGCTCAGATCCAAGTTATTTCAATTAATTGGCAGCTTTTGTTAAATAAAACTTCTAAGTAGAGAGATGCATATCCTCCTGACAAAGGTGCAGTGCTCTACTTTCTGCAGCCCAGTCACAGGTAGAAAATACAGAAACTGGGGCTACTATATAAGGTTTATGAGGTATGTATGAGCTATATTGAGGGTATCAAAGGATGCAACCATTTTTCTTTGAATACCTTGTCAGTCCTGTGCTGAGAAGGAGGTACAGATCCTTAGATCCCCAGAAGCAGAGCATGTTTTAACAAATGACTCTCTTTTGGGAGAAAAAAAAAATAAAAATCAGTGCAAGATACAAATAAATAATAAAAGAATGGCTGATTTGTTTGAAAGTTTTCCAGCCAAACAGTAGGGGTTATGCAAGAGTCAGCCTGGACCCAACAGAGAAGGCATTGAACCAGGTCTAATAGGAACAACTGGACCCAATACCCATATTATGTTCAGTAATGGAGTTTTTTTGTAGTACAAGGACTTTAATGTTGAAATCTTAACATCCAGTCTGGAGGGAAAAAGGAAAAAAATGAAGTCCAACACAATTAGAAAATCTCTTTTGTGGATTTTAAGTATTGCCAGCCATATTTGTGTCTTTTCACAGATGAATGGGCTTTTCTGTCACTGTAAGGCTGCATTGTAAAGTAACGGACTTGAACTAATTGTGTCCTGTAAACCTATTTAGAATAATCATAATAATAATAAAAGTTCTTTGAAGCTCAGACATGCGTGTAAGTTGTTTCTGCCAACTAAATGGGTTGGTAGTTGGGCAGCCCTTTACCACTCAGAGTTAACAGGAGTCAGGAGCATTTTAGGAAAAGCAGCTGGATAACACAACTCCTGGGAGGAGTATCTATGGAGGAGTTGCAGATGGCTGCCAATTCAAGAGAGGTGCTCATCTTCTGCATTTCTGGTTATTTTGGTTACCAGGAGGTGCTGGAAAGTCTGTTCAGCCCCAGTGAGACAGTTATCTCCATGAGGGTGGAGAAGAGGTCCAATCTTCAGCTCTTAGTACCTTGTGGCATTTGGAGACATCATGAGAACCTACATTTTCTAACTCTTAAGCCCATGCATTTTTCTTGGGGAAAAACCATAATTCATTGTTGTTGAGCTGTGATGGCGTCTCTGAATGCTTTCCCAAGAGTTTTATCCTTCTGCATCAGTGCTCTTAGCTGCAAAAGACAATGGTTCATTCTTCAGCAAACCTTAGCTCATTTTGTACCTCCACTTATAGCACGTTGCCCTAAGCAGAGAATAAATGAGAAGACATTAAACAGTCTGCGATAGGAAAAGATCATATGCTGAAAGAGGTTATTTTTCCCAAACCCAGCTTTGCCTTCTCCCCAGCATCCCCTAATCAGTCTTGCAGGCAGGCCCCGGTGATCAGCTAGGAAGTGAATGAGCTCAGGCTGCAGAAGAGCAGCAAACCCAAGAATATATCTGTATCATAGCCATCCCAGTTCATTCCCAGGGCTTGTCACAGGCAGGAAGGCTTGGGCTGCTGGAGCTGCTTTAATGGGATTCTCCCAAATGTTTGTCTCTTGAAGTAGCGGGAGGTTTTAGCTGACCCACTTCAGATGCCCCACATCAGTTTGTTGCTCACACAATATCCCAAAGAGCAGCTGCAGTGACCCGAAGGAAGGATGCTTTGAGCCACTAACAGGAGGGTATCAGTCGAACCACATCACTTAATGCTGCTCAACTGGCAGTGTTCCTTCCCATTTGGATGTTTTGTAAATTGCTTATATACTAAATGCTTTTGCATGCAAATATTCTTATATTAAATACATTATTGAATGTAGGTATTTGCATGTTCAAATGTATTTTCATAATATGCTATCTCTTCCTACAAATCTTGCTTCTCTTTGTTCTTCAGACCTGAGAAAACCTTGCTCTTGGTACCTGTTGAGAAATGGGCTTTCTGAGCCTGATTCTTTGTGTGAAAATGCGAGTGTCTGATTTTCTGCTTTTGATCCACTTTCTATTTGTGATTGCTTATCAGTTGGTTGGTTTTTGTTTTGTTTTTTTAAAGGTGTTTTAGACGTATCTTTCTACTAAAATGCGAAAACCGTTTTGTTTTTTTCTGTTATGAATGTAATGAGCTTTGGTGAGAATCCTTGCTTACAAGTGCACGCACTTCTCTAAGCTGAATCTATGGCGTGCTTTGGAAATGCTGTCATTGAGGAATGCCTTTGCTGGAGTTGGGAGGTGAGCTCTGAGCGGATGTTGAGGACAGACCCTGCCTTCTGGATGTGCTGTGTTGAAGCTAAATGTGTCAATGAGGAGAGCTGTAGTAAAAAAAAAATAATAAAAAAAAAACCTTGGGCAGTGGTAAATGTGGTGTAAAATGAGATTTTGTCACAAAATATCTCATGCGCATTTTGGATTCGTTATTTTAAATTTTCTGCTTTTTTTTTGTTTTGCAGGTGAGGACTCCCATCCGCAGAGCTGAAGCATGAGTACCGATGCCAGTCAGGTGGTGATCACTTCTCCCCCTGCAGCCACAATGCCCCACAAGGAGAGGTACTTCGACCGCATCAACGAGAATGACCCCGAGTACCTCCGGGAGAGGAACATGTCTCCAGACCTGCGACAGGACTTCAACATGATGGAGCAGAGGAAGAGGGTCACTCAGATACTGCAGAGCCCTGTGAGTAGGATTAAGGGGGGGGATGACAACTACGGCGTGCTGTCTTTGAGATTCCTCTTTAGTTTCTTGAGGTTTAAGAAAAGAAAGCTATCTCACTGTTAGCTAGAATAATTCTGGACTGTCTTATAAGAAGAGTGGCTAAGCAGATTATCCAACATTTTGTTTGCTTAGCTTCTTGTCTGTGAATAAACACTGGTGGTTTTTTTTTCCTCCTGGTGCTTTTATGGTCTTACGCTTCATTACAGTATTACAAAAAGATCTGGCTGGCTGAAGGGTACTTAATTAAAACTTAGGCTCAAGGAAGAGAGTAAAGGAGTCACACCGGTCAAATAGGAACAGATTAGGGTGTTAGATGGAGTTCTGCACTCTGGTTTTGAATATGAACTTATCATTTGCATCAGGAATGCTTTAATTACATTTTTAATGTTGGCTTAGATCATCTGAACGCTAGAATATGTTCTCTTCTCTTGTACTTGGGGGCAATCATACCCATATAAGGCCTTAATAATTCTATGTTAGCACTTACCTACTGGTTGCATAAGTTCAGTGCTTTTGTAGGCTACGCGTAACACTTTAATCTAGAGGTGGTTTAATAGTTTTAATTTATATTTTAATGTATATATTGTGTGAATTTAACCTGATGAATGCTTTGGAAAGCAAAACTGGCGCCTGAGTGGTCTGAAGCTATAGAGGGTGAGCCTTTGGGGTGGGGATTATAAGGTGAGCAACAAAGACAACGGGACTTGGAAGGGGTTAAGCAGCTTTGCAGATCATTTTCTGTTCAGTTCTACTATAAGTTGGGGTGTTTCTCATGTCATTTTTCTGAAGCTTTTCCATATGTAATGAGATTGCAAACAGCTGTTAGTAATCACCCTATTATAGTCATCCATGAATAACAGGATTGTTTGCTAAAGTGTTGTCGTGGAGTGCCTCTTGGATCTGTGTGTTGCTCTGGGTATAATGTGAACCTGTTGACTAAGGAATTTATGACTTTCAAGTCGATTTGTGCAAGTTTAATTCTGCAGCCAACCCCTTTATAATAAAGAAAATACTCCAAGGAGGTATTGCATAATGCTTTAATCACGATAAAATTATGTTAAACACTCGACTGTAAAATGTGATCAGTCTGCTCCTTCCTGTTAAAATACTCACATTACAAGTAGCCAGGGCTCACAGCAAAGACTGGATCTTTATCCTGTTTAAGTAGGGCAAGATAAAAATAAGTTGTAGAGGTTGTGTTTGTGTTTGTGGTGTTCTTTGGTTCTTCCAATGGAGGCATTGAATTGGGTGGTCGTAACTATTTGCTCAGCATTTTGGGGGACCCTTTGCCAAGTCTGCCAAATGTAATGAATGTCTCTTTGCTGCAGTCTCTGGTATTCTGGAGATGCAGAGTCAGCATACAGGTTTTAGGAACGGACGAAGAGGTGCTACCTCTGAGTCTGGGTAAGTGCTTTAACAGACAGCAGGAGGATGAAGCCAGGCAGTTCTGAGTGTACTGCTGCAGGACAAGCCGAGCCCAGCACTGTTTGGAGATGCCAGTAAGTTGCAAGTTGTACAACAGAATGGTTGTCCAAATAAGCCAGGGGCCTGCTGGCTGCGTGGCCATCCTCATCTGACTGGGAGAAGACGTGGAACGCAGGGTGTGAGAAGGCATGGACAGAAGGAGCCTGGGCTGCCAGCTTCTTTCTCCTTTTGTGGGCTCTTCTTGAAACAGAAAACATGGAGTAACCCTTCTATGATTCCTCATGTGAGGAAATAAAAGCATTTTTAGTACAACATCTGAGACTGAATGTCCATCAAGCAAAGTTCATAACTGATTTGGGGGTAGAAATTGCATTCCATCTTCCAGCAGCTGGCTGCAATGTGGCATAGTGTTCTTGAGTCAGGACTGAAAATGATTATCAGATGAAAAATGATTATCTTCTCTCTTATGAGTACATTTTTTTCTCACAAAAGTATCAAAAAACATTTCTCTTGTTACTGGTCTGCATAACATGAGCTCAGGGCTGTATTCTGTATGGTGTTTCTGTTCTATAACTGCAGAATTGCATAGCATGAGAAGTTTGCATAAAGCTTTAGTAAGAACTAGTTTGGTGTTTTGGAAGAGGGGGAAGTGAGGTCATCAGACACATTTTTGTGAAGATATTTCCTACTAGTGAATATTCATCCCATCTTACATGTGCATATATGTACTCAGATTGGAGGGGTAGTTGTTGACTCATCATAATTACGTATCAGTGACTGTGAAGTGTATGCAGCAAAGATAATAACTTTCTATCCTAAAAATATGCAAGCATGTATGGGCTAAAGGCAAACTTGTGTGAACGCATACTTTCTCCAAGCAAAGAATCATGCTATAAAGCTAAAGGGTTAATCACTACCATCTAGGAGGAAGCTTAGGTACTCATATTTTATTAACAAGCTTTTTTCCTTCCTTTCAAGTAGAAAAATCTACATCCCTTAGCAAGAAAATATATTAGAGAATATATTTCAGGAACCACTCTGTATTTTGTGCAGGGCATGTCATTGCAAGGGCTACGGCCCTGACCAGACACCCTCAGACATCAAACTGCTGCATCTCTCTGATGTGCCATTTGATGCACACATTGATGTGCAGCCTGGCTACTCCCCTCTGATGTGCTATTTCCCTTTTGTAAATTAAATAATTTAAAAGCTGCACTCATTACTTCTGATGTTTGCTTATGCTTGTAATAAGTCTTAAACAAATCAGTAATGCTGATTTGTTCTGTTAACGCTGCCCATGAAGAATCTCCTGACATTATCAGCAATTTCTCAGACATATTTACTTGATGCTCCCTGTAACCTGTGCACATCTGAAAGCCTGGACAATCTGACAGCACCTGCGTGTTTGTTGTTCTGCCTTAAGTCAGTAAAAAGCAGTGACATTCAGATAGGTTTGTGGAGCCTGATAGCACTCAGAAGTACCGCTGGACATGAAGTTGCAGGATTTTATTTCATTAATGTCTGCAGGTTCAGAACATTTGGGTATTACATCGTTCTTTTCTTGGGAACAAATATTTTCTCGCAATAGAATACTTCCTTTGCTTTCTGTGGAAAAATACACTTCAGCTGTAGTACATCCAAAATAGGAAATGCTTTTTTTTTAATTATTTTTTATTTTCTATCTCACATCTAAAATTAAAAACGGTTTTGTCTCTATATGCTAAACAGCTGTAAACTGATTATTGGCATGCCTGGTTTACGTTTTCATAGGATCTCAGAATTGTTTGAATTGGAAGGGGCCTTAAACACCATCTGTACCAACCCCTTGCACAGAACAGGGATGCTTACAGCTCCATCAGGTGCTCAGGTGTCCCATCCAGCCTGACCTCAGGTGTCTCTGGGAATGGACAACTTGCTCCAGTGTCTCACCACCCTTATTACAAAAAATTTCTTCCTTGTATCCAAACTAAATCTCTCCTCTGTTAGTTTGAAAAGGAAAGTTTCTTGTGGCTTTTCAAGTTGCATTGAATATGCACTGTGTCTTTGCCCATGAAACACTCAGGTGTTAGGAGCCTGTTCGGTTTTAACCTGAGAGGAAGCTGGCCTGCAGGATCTCCCAATGCTTTGCTTTAATTCTGTGCTGGCTGTGACAGTGCTGATTGGTTAATGATGCTTCAACACTGCTGTTATATAATGGAAATAATTCAGTTGTACCCATCCGTGTTGCAAAATTGGTTTTCTCATGCTTAGGCCGAATGCCCTCCTGTCCTTCCTGTCCACATGTGTGCATGTGCCCAGCCTCCAGCCCCATCTGACTTAGCTTTTCTTTTTTTTTTTTCCTGGGATTCACATTTGTCTGGTTTGCTTTGTTTTGTATCACGTGGACATCCAGTATTTTCACACCACCACTCCCTTCCAAGGCAGTTCATTTTCATGAAATATCCAAGTCCTTTCAGCCGCTCTCTTATTTTGACTTGCACTCTATTGCCTGTTGCTAGCATCCCATTCTACCCCTTTGGTCCCATACTATGGGACCTTCTGCAGGAGCAGCCTCCCGTTCTGCAGCTCCCCCAGCTGGCTTCAACATCCCCTGACATTTGTATAACTCTCTGCTGGGGAACTGCACAACTGTCTCCTGCCCTACTCTCATCAAAATGGCTTTTTAAATCTTTGCTCTTCTGTTCTCCACTTTGTTACACTGGAAATTAAAATTACCTTTGACTTCTGCCTTATTTCCAGGTTGCAGCTTTCCATTTAGTTTGAACTCAGGTTTTCAAATGTCAGCGGTTTCCACCCTGAACATATATATTTTTCCATATTTCTGATCTTTGTGTTGTTGACTTGCTAGAATTGAAGTCTTTGTATTCTTGGGAGGGAGTTGTCTGCAGATCCTGCTGTGATTTTTGATCCTATATCCTGTAGATCATTCAAATCATTAAGCAGTTAAGTCCATCCTTTTGCTTAATGAGTTTGCATAGAATCGCAGTTGGAAAAGACCTCTAAGATTATTTAATCCAAGCCCAGTCCATACCCACCAATACTGCTAACTATCCATGCCTCTCAGTGCCACATTTCCATGGTTCTTTAACACTTTCAGAGACAGTGACTCCCCCACCTCCTTGGGCAGCCTGTGCCACTGCCTCACCACTCTTTCTGAGAAAAAGTTTTTTCTAATAGCCAACCTGAACCTCCCCAGCACAACTTAAGGCCATCAGTCTCACCCTATCACTGTTACCTGGGAGAAGAGTCCAACCCCACCTCACCACAACCTCCTTTCAGGGAGTTGTAGAGAGAGATAAGGTTTTCCCTGAGCCCTCTCTTCTCAAGGCTGAACAGTCCCAGTTCCCTGAGTGGCTCCACATAGCATTTGTGCTCTAGACCCTTCACAGCTTTGGTTGTCCTCTTAACACACTGCAAGGCCTATGAGCCTTTTCTATGGCTCTATGTGTATTTAAAGTCGTTAATTGTGAATAACAATCAGACTTAATTCTGTAGGTAAGTGATATGGAATTGTAAAATAAAATGCACCGTAATGA